ATGTATGTTTGATATATAGAAAGCAGTACCCAGAACATCAACTGAGCAACCAGTTGTGATGATCCAGCTTGTCTGTAGCACTTGGTAAAGCTTCTATCATAGTTTTAGTAATAAAACCCCAGGGAAACACTCACTGAAGACCATGAGAGTCACAGCCCCGATGAGCATGATGAGGGTCTGCAGAGCATCGGTGTATATCACGGCTGCCAGGCCACCTAAGGGAGCAGAGAAGCAGCAAACTGGGGGAAACTGGGTTTGTTCAGTCGTAGCATCTCATGCTGTGCTGCAGTTCTTGACGAGCCGGTGCCTGGCAGGCAGGGGGCTGTGGTTCTGCCCGTGCTGGGGGCACTTTGGCCAATTCCTCTGCATGACACTTTGGCTGAAATTTCTCATGTTTTGAATTATAATGAGTCACCGTTTTGTCACTAAAAAGCCAAAGTCCAGTATAAGTATTTCTACGGGAAATACATGGAAAAACTCCAAAACAAAAGCCAAGCTGAATAAGGAGGAGAAGAAAAAAAAGGGGGAACTTTATGGGCAGCATCGCTGGGGTGAGCACTGGGAAAGGAGCAACCTTTACTTGTTCAGGATTTGCTGCTTACTCCGTGCATGGCTCTTTTCCATTTGGCCACTGGGAAGCCCTGAAAGGGCACCCAAGATGGACAAGGCTTTCCGCATGACACGGCTCTTTGTTATGGAAAGCCCTCATACCTCCCAAAAGCCCAGAGGAAAAATGTATTGTGCAAATGCCTGGAGCACAGCTGCCCCCTAAAGCAGAGCTGACGTGTATCTCTATCGGGAATGGCCTTAGGAGGGCTGTTCGTTTACTCTCACCTCTTAACTTTTCCTTACCAGGCAAATTGTCAGCTGCTTACCACCCACCCACCCCCTCCCCTTATCCATATTCATGGCAAATCCAGCTTGTATGGAAAACAGAGATTCCTATCATGAGGATGACCAGTCCGTTGTGTGAACGCAGCAGGATCTGTGGTGTGACCTGAAACTCAGCCACGTACCTGCCACAGTGTAAACGGCCGTGATGGCCAGCAAGCCTGCCACGGCGATGTAGAGGTCCCAGTGTAGGGCTTGCTGGATGAAGAGAGCCCCCGCGTACATATCGACCTAGAGAAAAGAGAGTTATTGCAGTTGCAATGGTATTACCGAGCTCCTCGAAGCTGGCAGTGCCAGGGACCGTGAACTTGTAGCTGACCAAGCTGTCCCCTTCTGTGGGTTTGTAACTGCTTGTGACTCCCCAGTGCCCCACAGCATCTTCTCCCCATGGCACATCCCTCTGCGGTCCCGGCTCCTGCCTCCTCTGCCTTTAGTTCCTTATCACTGGTCATGGGGGTGACAGGGAAGGTGATGATCACAGGATGGTTTGGGTGGGAAGGGACCTTACAGCCCACCCAGTGCCACCCCCTGCCATGGGCAGGGACACCTTCCACTAGACCAGGTTGCTCCAAGCCTCATCCAGCTTGGCCTTGGACCCTCCCAGGGATGGGACATCCACAGCAGCAGTGATGGAACTATCCCGAGGGAGTGGGAGCACGCACGGCATGCTCTGAAGAAGGCATTTGGGTGGGGTGAGCTTATCTCTTCCCCAGAGCACCCCGGTGGAGAGCTGTGCTGGCTGGGGGACCTGTGGTACAAGCCTCCTCAGGTGCCTGGGCCTGCTGCCAGCCCCTGTAGTGCTTTGCCGTAATGCGAATTCCTCCCTGCTCACACGGAGACGGGGAGATAGTACGGAGAAGTGTCCTCGGGCTGGGACCCAGCCCTGGCCAACTCGCTCCGCAGCTACGTGAAAATGCTGCGGCTCAGGAGAGCTTTAGGATAGGCCAAGTGCTGACCATAACGACAGACATATAAAAGCATCCTGAATACTTGGATTATCCTAGATTTTCATCAGTGAGTGCCTTCTAGAGCAGAACCTCAGCCTAGCTCCCCAGTGCCGCCCAAGCCCCCGGCAGCCGCCGTTTCCGAGGGGCCGTGTGCAGGTGTGTGTCCGGCAGCGCGTCCCTCTTTGGCACTGCGTCTACAGGAAGAACCCCGGCAGTGGCTTGTCCGATCTCCCAGCTCCATGCGCTGCTGGGCAGTTAACCGACAGCTAGCGAGGTGTTGCGCAAGGGGCAATTCGGTGATGTATTCAAGGCACCGCATCGAGCAGGCGCCGTGAATGGCTAAGCTCTTTTCACCTCAACACGCGCCAGCTCCTGCGTTCGTGTCCATCCTGCATGTCACGGCGCCCGGCGTCTGCGCGGGCGGCAAATGTGCAAAGGGAGGAAACGGGGTAGGCTGCCAGATGTACGAGATCTAACGACAGAGGCATCCACGCTCACAGCTTTGCAATGAGCTGTTGCTCAGGACACTGACACCTGGCTTTCCCTCCTACAGCAGCAAGCATTCAGACCCTGAATGGGAAAACAGAAGTTACTTCTTTTGTGTGGGTTCTCAAAACAGCTGTGGTCCAGTTTCCTCAGGTATTTTGATAATACACCCTTTTCTGCTCGTATCGGGAAGGGCCAGTGCTTGCGTTTCTCAGCCTCGCTGAGCAGCTCATGTTTCCAAGATGGATTTAATTCAGTCTGTTTCCATGTTTTTTTCTACTTACTGATATTTTGGTGAAGATATAGATGAACAAGTAGAGAATCGCCAGGAACATCTGAATCCTTTTGCCTCCGAAACGTTTCCTCAGGTACTCGGGCATGGTCGTGACCTACGTGAGAGACGCGGTGGTACGCAGCCGCTCCTGGGAATTGCAGAGGGCTCACCCACGGGGCTGGTGTGGGCGGGTTGGGCTGGCAGGAGACTAGAAGGGCCCTGCCAGTTGCCCTGTGCGGGTGTTTGGTTCTCAGCTGCGTGCTTAGGCCAGCACAACAGATATTGGCAAGCACTGACCCAGCTGTGTCTGACACAAGGCTCGCTATAAACTGCGATAGGAGAGCCTCCAACCATCTCCTGGAGCAACTCTCCTCCCTTGCCAGGGGCAGCGGAGCAGCCTGGCCCTGCACCTGAGCCCTCAGCGCTGTCCCCACTCGCCCCTTTCCCCGGACCACTGCAGCGGCCGGTGCACCACGGCTCACACCTGCCTTCCCGAAGGAGCATGGGTGCAGCGGGAGATGGTTAAGCCCTGTGCCGGTTTCTAGCCCACGTTAACCTCTAGCAGAGGTTAAACCACGGCAGCCCCTGAGCCAAGCAGGTGGTTTAAACACCAGCAACCCACTGGTGGACACACCATCCCGTGTACTTACTCCTGCTGCTATGTAAATGGGAAGGAATAGCCAGGCCAGCACCAAAACACAGAACATCCCCTGCAAAGCAAATGGAGAGGAAGGTCAGCGCTGCTGGCCAAGGCTGCGAGCAGGTGGATCGATGGGGATGTGGGGAATGGGTTATCCCTCACACCCCCAGCAGCTGGAGGTGAGAACCTGAGCCGTTGGAGCTGCCAGACCTACACTTCTGTGTGGCGGCTCGGAGTTGCCCTGCGCGGCATGGAGACAGCTACTGAGCCCCATCCCACACTTACATTCCACTCGTAGGCGGTTGCGGCAATTCCCGAGGCGGCTCCCGACCCAGCCAGGCCAATGAAGTGGCCACTTCCAACGTTGCTGGCGAAGAGGGATGCTCCCACCTGGAGAAAGACAGGAAATGGGATCTGGCCTTGGCACAAGGCATTGTTCTCAGCCTGGAGATGGACAAAGGCATAAGCAGAGCAGTTCTCTCTCTCCCGGGCACGCACACATCCCAGCGGATTCCCAGCGTGGAGGTTAGTGTTCCTCGTGTGTTTATTCATGACTACAGAGGACATGAAATCCTTGTCACCCTCTGACGCCTTCTTGTTGCACCTTCATGTTCAGCGGCTCTGGCATCTCTCTCTAGCTTCTGTCATGGCTCGCTGCCCAGCACTCATCTCTGGGCACGTTTAGGACCATCCTGCTCCCAAAAAGGTGTGGAGCAGGGCAGAAGGTGGAGGTAACAAGTAGAAATGTCAGGTCACCAGGGTCTTACGTTAGCACACCCTGACTCACCAGCCCAGCCCAAATTAAACCCACCAAGCCGGTAGCTCAGCATAAATCTGCGTCCGCCGTGGGGACCACCCAGTTAATCCCAGCGATCTCCGGCTCGGAGCATGCGGAACCACCCGCGTTTTGCAAGCCAGCAGCCTGGCTCTGGTGGGAGCACAAGGCTGGGGCAAGGGCCCTGCAGCAGCTCCACTTCCCCAGGCTCAGAATTGGGGAAAAAAGCCACTATTGCAAGTGGGTCTTCACAAAACATGGAAGTAACTAATTTATTTTCCCTCTGTTTGGAGAAATAAGCCGTGCATGGACAGAAGTGCTTTTCAGACTCGCTGTGGCCTAGGGGCACAAGCAGGGAAAGGTTAAAGGTACTTACAGGCCACCAAACCATCTGTCCTCCAGCAAGGAAGTAGCCCTTTACGGTGCTGCGCTGCGTCTTCCACATGGACTGGGGAAGCAGAAAAGCAGAACACAGGTTTCAGCAAACTTTCCAGCTGCTGCTCAGAGCATCACCAAGCGATTCCCCAGCGGGACACTGTGCTGCCAGCAGATGAGAGCAAAGGGTTTCTGAAAGACCTGCCTTAGGTGCTGGGAAATCCTGGGGGGCAAGAGAGCAGCAGACAAGGGGGGAGGCAGGCCAATGCTGGCAGCCACGCAGTTTTCCATCATCTCAGCATCCTGATTAAATGTTTTCTTTGATAAGCAAACTGAATCAGTCCAGATCCGCGAGGGAGACAAGGAATTTTGGACAAAAACAGTGGACATCCCTAATTATTAAGTGGAACCAGGAGAAACAGTCAGCATTGCACTCAGTGATGCCTGTTCTTCAGCAATTTCTGGTAGTTTCATAGAATCATAGGACAGTTTGGGTTGGAAGGGACCTTAAAGATCATCAACTTCCAACCCCCTGCCAGGGGCAGGGACACCTTCCACCAGACCAGGTTGCTCCAAGCCTCATCCAGCCTGGCCTTGGACACTTCCAGGGATGGGGCATCCACAGCTTCTCTGGGCAACCTGTCCCAGTGCCTCCCCAACCTCTCGAGGAAGGATTTCTTCCTGATATCTAATCTAAACCTCCCCACTTTCAATTTAAACCCATTACCCCTTGTCCTATCACTACAGACCCTTGGAAAAAGTCTCCTCCAGCTTCCTACATACAACACCTCAAGAGTAATGGGCCACATCTGAAGGAGCAACTATTCTTCTCTGCTTTGCAGCAGCCACATTATGCTTTTGCTGTTACAAAAGCCATGCCAAAAGGATGTCCTTCTGCCTTAATTTTATATGAACAGTATTTTTAATTTACGGAATCTGCTGTTGAGACCACTGCAGACAAGCAGGGATGATTTATAGGACAGCAATTCCTTCCTGGATGAACAAAACATTATTGTTAGCAGTACTTTGTACTTAGACAACCTCTTCCTTACAAGGGTTCTCAAAACCTTGGCAAACACTGGAGCTGAACAGCTCTCCTCTGGAGCCCTGAGGCCACTTCCCAGGCTGAAGTGAGGAAAAGGACCTGTCAACTCTATCTTTCCGCTTGTTCAGTTGAATGCAGTGAAGTAAGGCTGGATTCAAGCCAAACTGAAATAATTTGGGGCCCAAACAGCTATATTTTTCAGTGTAACAGGGCACATACAAAAGGTTTTAAGGCTATCTGCTTACCCACAGCCCAACCACGAGGACAAATAGGAAGTACAGCACCAGGACAGCGATGTCTATGGGCTCCAGAGTCTTCTGGGGAAACACATCCCATGGGGGGGTCACAGAGGATGGAGTGCTGCTGGTGGTCTCCATAGTTTCTTATGCAGGCCGAGTGTTTTGTCCTGATGCATATATCTGTTAAAAAATGGGTTACATGGTTAGGAGAGGATGTGTTTCTGGAATAATTCAGGGGTTACAGGCTCTGTGTCTCTGGCTGCAGTGCTGCTTGTGCTGGAGTAGTGGAGAAGGCTCTTGTGTCTGGCATTTGCCTTCATTCCTGCCTCCCTTTCCATGATGAGTGGTTGCTGGCAGCAGGCAGGCCAGCTGTGGGGTGGTGGGATTTCCTTTCCAGTGGATAATTGTCTAACTGGTAGAGAAATGGGTGCGTTAGAGAGGAGGTGGGAATAGCTGAAACAGAGGACAGGACCAGGATGTGGCACAGCCAGTGATGGAGAGCTCAAGCCTGTGTGCGGAGAGTGCTTGGGTCTCCTCCGGAGTACAGATGACTTCCCGTGTCAGGAGTGGAGGCTGGCAGCATGTTCCTAAGCAGAGGGATGGACATCGTGGAGCAGGCTGGGGCAGCAGGATGAGCAGTGGTAGACTGTGCCAGAGCTGGGTCTCCCTCTGGCACACCAGCCTGCAGTTAGGCATTTCCTGTGGGTGAGATATTCCTGTGCTTTCCACAGAAATAAAAACTCATTTTCTTGTCCAGAAATGCCTGATGAGGAGAGGTGGCACCACCGAGGGACCCCTGCAAGGGCTCCCTGGAGCCCTCTGGAGCACCTTGTGGTGCCAGGCTGCTGCCCTTTGGCAGAAGGGACGGGATAAAGTCCACACAAAGTGGTTGGTCAGGTATTTGAATTAATGCAGTTCCTCCTCATTTCCTCCTCCTCCCCTCGCCCAGGCTTGGCCCCACTTTGAAAGCAGGACAGGCTGCGAGTGGCAGCCCTGATGCAGCCAGGGCAGGGGCAAGGACCACCTTGGAGACCCCATTCCTCACAGGGACCCCAGGACCCAGCACGTCACCACCGCACTCCAGCCACGGAGCAAGTTTGGGATTATTTTTCTCACCGTGCTGAGCCCAGGAGATGGTTCCTCTGGAGAGGGGCAGAGCTGGCACTCCCCGGCCTTGGCGTGGCTTCAGCTCAGCTCTGGGTCCAGCCGCGGCGTCGCTGGGATGGCTGAGCCAGGTCTGCGTTCTCCTGCCTGTGTGGCTGGCCAGGTCCTTTCCCCTCTTCTTGCACTTGTAAGGTGACTCTTTTAAGCTCCTTTCTGCCAAAAAGCTGAAGAAGGTGGGGCGAAGGGTGGCCTGCACCAGTCTGGGGCTCCCGGCGTGGATGGTCCGGCAAGAAGCGGTCAAACAAGTTCTTCCTCTGAACGCCCGGCGTGCGGCACGGCACCGAGCGAAACAGCCGCCCCCGTCCCTCGGTCGCGTGTTTCACAACCTCCGACGGCTTCTCCTCTTTGTCCGTGTCTCGAACCTTCCCTAACTGGCTTCCTGGGAATGCAACTGGCTGCTCCAGGTGCTGGTGGCACTGCTGCCACTGCCAGGCATGAGCAGAGGGAAGGGGGTCGCAAGTGCCATGGTGATGGGGATGCAGCCATTTCTCCTGCTGGGCAGTATTCCGGGGGGGCAAACCCTGCCCCATGACCCCGCTACACCCAGTCCTGCAGCCCAGGCTCGGCTGGAGCAGGGCTGCTGGGCTCCTGCCTTTACGAAAAGGTTGGAAAATAAATAAGGAGTTTTCCGGTGGCAGACACCATTCCGTTGCCTGCTTTCCAGAGCCAGGGGGTTGTACCCTGAGACATCCGCATCCTCCAGCCAGAGGTGGTTTCAGAGCCATGTTCTGGTGTAGCGGCAGCCAGGGCCGAGGCGCGCCGGGGCCCGGGG